CCACTTCGTTTTGCTGGGTAACAGTTTGGTCACAGCCATCAGTGTGTGCTGTGCTTCTACATGACAGCTAATCCAGCACCTAGTGCAAAGTTGGAGAGAAGAGCTCTGAAACAATTGCCTGTGACCTTATTAAGTATGGAAGAAAAATCTTGTTTGAAATGCAGTGACTGTCAGCACCAGGTTACCAGCTTCAGAAGAAAGAGTTCAAGTCCCTGTATTAAGGAAATTATTTAAGAGCTGGCAGAGTTTATGGCTTAGCTGAGTGTTGTCCAGCTCTATTAAGTACCTTCTTAGAGAGCAGATTACCTGACAAGGTCCCTCCAGTCACAAGATGTCTTGGCAGCTCTACTCAATCAAGGCGTGAGCTTTCTGCCTCAAGGGTGGCTGGTGTCTTCAGGATTATCCAGGCTGCTCTAAATCTTGTAGCTTGACCCTTATGTCTCTCTCCTTTAAAATATCCAGGTATATGTCCTGTGAACCGCGACAGCATAGACTACATCTTGTCCAAGAATGGCAGTGGCAATGCCATCATCATTGTGGTGGGAGGTGCAGCAGAGTCCCTGGATTGCACCCCAGGGAAGAACTCCGTGACACTGAAAAACCGGAAAGGATTTGTGAAACTGGCTCTACAGCATGGGTAAGAGGCTGTCCCTAAGCTAGTGTAGTGCTTCTAGCCTACCACAGGTGCTCTTGTCTCCAAATTGGCTAATTGGATGGATTCTCTGTGCTCCCACTGTGTTGGATGGGTCTGTGCCCAAAGCCTTGTCTGTCTCCTGCTTATGGACAGCAGAGAGTGGTAGGAAGCTTCTGAGGACAGCAGGGATCTTCTAGTGCACAAATGTGACAAATATCTTCAGTGATACTGCCTGTGTAGCATCTATGACTGCAAAGAAATGCATGTAAATGAGATGACTTCCTTCAAATGATTGCATATGGTAAAAGGACGGCATGTTCAAATCCTAAATTTAATGCATTCAGTGGCAGGATAATTCTTGTTTATACCTTAAAGTGCATCCATCATGTATTATGCCAAGACTGGCTGACTTACTGTCAGTATCTTGTACTGCAAACAAAGCTCCAGCTAATAAAATCTGCAAAAGTACAGCCTGAAAGAGCAAACAGCAGCAAGTTTGGTGCTGCAGTGTTGACTGCAGTCCATTGGCATGGGGTCCTAACATCTTCCTGTCTTTCTAGTGCGGATTTGGTTCCTGTCTACTCATTTGGGGAGAATGAAGTGTACAAGCAGGTGATCTTCGAGGAGGGCTCCTGGGGAAGATGGGTTCAGAAGAAGTTTCAGAAACACATTGGCTTTGCTCCGTGCATCTTTCATGGCCGGGGCCTCTTCTCTTCCAACACATGGGGATTGCTACCCTACTCCAAGCCCATCACCACTGTTGGTAAGTTCTTGGTATAAACATGTTTTTTTTGCTGCTTTAGGCTTTTCTAGAGAAGCATACCTGAGTCTGGGCCGTACATATCTCTAGCTTGGTCTTGGAGTCCTGACTAGGACTTACTTTTTTCCTTCTATATTAAAAGCTTCAAGCACAGCTGAGAGAACTAGAACAGCTTCCAGAGGCTGCAAGCCTCCAATCTTGCTCTGCAGGGTTCTGCAGGACGCCCATGTGAGCTCTTTTGGGACAAAATGCAGTGGCTGCTACCTTTTGTGGTCTCAAATAGCTTAAATAAGAAGCAGCCTGACCCACCAGGCTTCTAGGACTGGTTGGGTGGTGCTGCTTGACACTTGAGCCTTGGAGCCAACCCTAAAATGGACCTTCAAGCTTTCCATCCGTGAGCAGCAAGGATTTAAGGGAAAGGAAGGTGCTGCTTTACCATGCTATTACAGTGTGCATAGGAGAATGCGTGAGAAAAGCAATTCTTAGTCTTGGCTACTGTTACTGAGCAGGGATTTAGTGCTTGCCTATGAACAGCAGGAAAATTCCCACTTCCCTCCTGCATAGTGGGAGCACCTGCATTTTCACTGGCAAAATCCTGCTGCTGTTTGTGCAGGTGAAGTCACATTTGCTCTAGAACTCACTGTTGCTGGTGGGGCAGTTGTGGTCCCTCATATAGCAAAACTGGGGGGAAAGCCCAGGACAGCTTGCAGAGCTATCCTGTGCTAAAGTATATGTGTTGAGCTAGCATAGCCATGGCCCTGGAGCACAGCTCTCCAAGATGCACAGGAATGGTCAGCCTAACATGTGGATCTTTCCCTTTTATCAGTTGGGGAGCCCATCACCATTCCCAAGATTTATAATCCATCCCAGAAGGAGATAGACTTCTACCACAGCATGTATGTGAACTCCTTGATCAAACTCTTCGACAAGTACAAGAGTAAATTTGGCCTGCCAGAGACTGAGGTCTTGGAAGTCAACTGAAGGGACTGGCTCAGCAGCATCTCCTCGTGGAATCAGCACATCCTCTGCAGGAGTCCAAGCTGTCATCGTACATTTGAATGTGTGTGTGGGTGTATGTGTCCTTCAAAGGAAGTGTTAAAGCATTGTTACACCTCTTGAAAAAAAAAAAAATAATAAAAAAAGGCTTTGCTTTGGATAAATCCCATTACAAACTTCTTTCAATCCAAAAGAGCACAACTCTATTGCTGTGAGGATTTGGATGGGGGAAATGATTGCCTTTAATCTGCTCTATAATGCTGTTGGATTGCCAGTGATGGATTAGAAGCGTTCCTATGATTGTACCCACCAGCATAAGCTATTCTGGGAAAGTGGGATCCTTTTGGTTTATTTAATCAAAAAGCAGCTGGCTGATTTGACCAGAACAGCAGTATTACAGGCATGTTGCACAAGAGCCATGTTGATAAATGCTGACACAGCACAAG